TATAAGGAAAGAACTGAATCTGGAAAGTTCTGTGGGCAAATTGGTTGTAAAATACCTTCAGATTCTCATTTAGGCAGCTGAGCCAATCCTGTGTTCTTTGCAGCCTCAGCTTGTTTCTGCAGATACCCACCTGATTCGAACACCATAAAGCACAAACTTCAGAGCATAACCACATATCAAATCAATGTGTATGAAATGAAAGAGTAGCAGTTCGCCTTTGATACCGACGCTTTTGAATAAAAAAACAAAAGATCTCAGAAGAGCTATTCTATGCCATAATATTCAAGATCACAACATCATCCAATTACCATCAACATAGATGATCAAACATCAAGTAATCCTAGAGTGAAACATTCAGCAAACAAGAAGAAAGTCTTGAATCCAGCCCAATCTTACTCTTGATCCTCTCCTAACAACATGACTCCACACTCACAATTCGTAATAGATGTCGACGCTTAATACTCAAGTCAAAGATCTAGATTCACCAGAGTTGAAACCGCCAAGAAACGATAGATGTCAAGAATTCTCATTTAAAGACCAAGTACACGAACCGTGTTTGACAGTGAGGGGTAACCGTGTTCCGTGGCATGTCTCATGCACCGAGATTACAACAAGACAAGGGTCAGAACAAAACATCAGGGTACTAACCTCTTCTGGATATAAGATTGATACGTGAACGAGGACATTCGAATATCCAGTCGTCATCTTCCAAAGACTTAACCTGCCTGTCTAGTTCAGCCATTAAATCAGCCTACAATACTGCATCACAACAGCAAAAGAATCGTTACATTAATCGAAACAGATGGAAAATATTCTCAGGCGACCACATTCATGCAGTGAACTAAGCGATCCCGGTAGATTCTCTCTATTGAGATTCTGTATTAGAAATTTAGAAGTCATCTTAAACAAAGTATCTACTGTTTTATTTTAAGCCTAAAACAAATTCTTCTATGGACGGGTTTTACATACACACACAAACACACCGCCCGAACACATTATAACTACATTGGATAGAATAAGAAACACTAGCAAAACTACGACATGAAGAACCAAATGTCTGCAACAGCACAACATGGAGGAAACGCTCAATGTGGAATCAAAATTCGTTTCATTGAGCGAAGAAAAACTCAAAAGCAAGACATCTGGAAGAAGGGAATATTGATTCTATGGACGGGTTTTTTCCACTTTTTCGGGGTTTGGACATAAGTACCTGGTTACCCATCTTTCAGTTGTTGGCCTCAGGAGATTTAAGAGTTCGGAATCGGAATCGGAATCTCGTGTATTCAAAATCTAATATTTAAAATCACATGTGGTGGAAAAAAATAGAACAAATCAGACTACATTATTTCAGTACACGTAAAATAGCACAAATTATTATTAGTGACTTGTAGTAGCTGCCACTTAAAAGGTTTACAGTCCATGATAAATTACTCGATCCATTACAGGAACGTTACGAAACATCTCATTGACTAAATTAATTTAATTATTTATGAATAATGACGCTGTATAAGTGGACCGACCTGGAAAGTGTTGGTTGGGCGTTGATGATTCAGGAGTAGAAATAATCAAAGGCTACACGTTTAACATTTTCAATATTGGCTACTAACCTATACATACATACATACATATACATATATGGAATGATATTTGCGTGGTCCATTTTTATAGGTAGAATGAACAGTATTAACTTGGAAGGCAAAATTAACACATCAAAAGAGATAAAAAAAAAAAGCATCAACCGACAGGAGAAGTCAGGTAATAAATAGCATAGCCTTTGGTCTAAACCTTACATCGCAAAAAATAAAAAATAAAAAAAAAAAGGAAAAAGAAATCCAACCGAATCACTTTTTAAATGTATTAATAATGACGAAATATTAATGTATTTTTATATTAGATTAGGTGTTTCGGATTCTTATTTTTCATTTTTGAGTTTAGATATACGAAATAACTAAAATCGAAATATAAATAAAAAAAATAGAAAATAGAAAATAAATAAATAAATAAAATAAATAAACTCTGCTTTTAACTAAAGGCGGCCTGTCACTGGGCTTTTGCCTTTCTGCTAAACGAGTGTGACACCGTGTCTTTTCAAGCCCAATGTCCTGCCAAAGATTCTCTACTTTTCCCCACCCCTTTAATTATTATTATTATTATTGCTATCATTATTTTTATTATTTTAACACAAAAATACAACATCCAAAACCAATATTGAAAATGATAGTTTTGTTTTTTTTTTTTCCTAAGAAAGATGGTGTTTTACTTACTTTTTCTCAATATTAACCTACTTACAATCCAATTTTATTTGGAATGACGTACGTCAAATTTTCTAGGTAATTGAATTGATATTTTATATAAAACATATATTCTACAGGTTTTATTCTTTGTAGAGTAATTTTTTGGATGAAAATTTTCAATATTAAAAAATGATTATTTCCATGAAAAACAATCTAAATCTTAGTTAATAAAGATTCTCCAATCTTTATCACTTTAGATTACTTAAAAATTACAATCACATTGTTATTATTATGCATATCTTAAAATTATCTCGTATATCTCGCAAAATTAAAATACGCATTAATCAGATATGGGTTCAGGCATCACTGTAAATTTAGTTTTTGGGTAGCAAATTAAAATAAGTTATGAATGGTAAAAGAAATAAAATAAAATACGTTACGGACCTCCTGTGGTAACCGAATCTTCACTCCTTAAAGCTCACGCTTTACTTGAGGAAATAATCCATTAATTTAGTTGCTGGAGTACTCGAGGGGCAGTTTCGTCATTTAACAGCTCTCTCTCTCCCTCTCAAAGACTTCCACCAGAAACCTTGATCAAACGAAACTATTCACTGCGTGAAAAAGCAAAGACGAAAGCGCCGAGTTAGAGAGAGATCTAGAAGAAGATGGGATGATATACGGCGGAGAAAGAGAAGCCGAAGCTGATCGGAGGAAATTGCGAGGATATTTTGAGCTCTTAAATTTCTTTGTGGTAATCTTCGAGAATCGTGGACTGTATAATTTTTGTCATGATCAGTTTCTGGTTTGGTGTTTCTGCTTCTTCATCTTCTCCGTTGCTGTATGTTCTCTGATCTTCTCTTCGTGGTGTTCATCGTCTGGGTTTTTTCTATAATTTTTTTCCACGGAATTTCAGTTTGGTAAGAACATGGCTCCAAAGCTGTTCGATTCGTTTGGTACATCTACTGCTTTTGTTTTTTTTTATAAAGAAATCTAGATTTATAATCTTCGGTTACGTTTCGCGCTATAACCGTCAGCATGAGATTTTCCTATTGTGTTCTCCTAGGCTTCTGTGTGTGATCATGTGATTGCCCGACATGAATCTGGTTGTTTTCTCGGTATTAGAGCGTGAGATGGTCTTTGTGCTGATCCCAATTTCATTTGGTGACAATTGCTTAACATGTTTCTGACCAGGTTATTGAACAACCAGATTGGCTTTGGCCAGTGAATTTTCTTCCCGGCTTTGGCCTTAGTTGACCAGGTAACTTGATCACTATTTCAATCTTCAAAATTTTCCCTTTTTTTATGTTTATATGATATGATTAGCCAGTTTTCATCATAAGGGAGCCTAAGCTTTACTCTTTTTTGGTCAGCAATTGTGAAGGAGCAGACCGACGGAGCGGCACTGATCTGTCTAGAGGACCTCTGTATTTATACATCCTCTGGTTGCTGAGTGATTCAATTCCTATTTTTCCGGCTTGTGTTGCGGTCAGATCATAGGAACCATGGCTGGCGTATCGAAACGGAAGTATTCGTGGTGGTGGGATAGCCACATAAGCCCCAAGAATTCTAAATGGCTTCAGGAGAATCTCACAGGTACTTGATCGATGCGGTATGATTCAATGATTTGGTTGTTTAGGCTTATTTTCTTACAAGTTTCTGTCTGTGTGTACAGATATGGATAGCAATGTCAAACAAATGATCAAGCTTATCGAAGAAGATGCGGATTCCTTTGCCAGGCGGGCGGAAATGTACTATAGGCAACGGCCTGAACTTATGAAGTTGGTTGAAGAGTTTTATCGAGCATATCGTGCATTAGCTGAAAGATATGATCATGCCACTGGTGTAATCCGTCATGCTCATAAGACTATGGCAGAAGTGTTCCCAAATCAAATTCCTTTGATGTTCGGTGATGAATCACCTGCCGGTGCTGCCATCAATGAGGCTGATCCACGAACACCAGAGATGCCACCTCCTATCCGGGCTCCGGTTGATCCGGACGAGTTACAAAAAGATGCTTTAGGGGTCTCTTCATCTCATGTGCCCTCTGTTAAAAGGAATGCAGCCTTCACAGAAGAACCTCAGTCTGTGAGTAACAGAAAAGGTTTGAAACAACTTAACGACTTGTTTGGGCCAGAAACAGGAAGGGCAAGGAAAGGATTGAATTTCAACTATGCAGATGAGAAAGGAAGAAATGGTCTCAGCAGGGACGAAAGCCATGATCTCAAGACACGACTTCTTTCAGAATCTGAACGAGCTAGCAAAGCTGAGGCTGAAATTGCTGCCTTAAAAGATGCTCTTTCCAAAGTGCAGGCTGAAAAGGAAGCTACCTTAACTCAGTATAATCTGAACTCGGATAGACTTTCTAATATGGAATCAGAAATATCTCGTGCGCAAGAGGACTCCAGGGGGCTGAATGAACGAGCCACAAAAGCTGAGGCTGAGGTCCAAACTCTCCAAGATACCCTTAGCAAATTGGAATCTGAAAAAGAGTCCAGCCTTCTTCAGTATCAGCAATCCCTGCAGAGGATAGCTGATTTGGAGGCTAGCATCTCTCAAAGCCAGAAGGATGCTGGAGAAATAAACGATAAAGCCAGGAAAGCTGAAGCCGAAACTCAAACCTTGAAGCAAAGCCTTGCCAGAGCTGAAACCGACAAGGAAGCTGCTCTTGTTCAATACCGTCAATGTTTGGAAACCATATCTAATCTGGAAGAGAGGATGCGGAAGGCTGAGGAAGACGCAAGGATTCTCAATGAACGGGCAGAGAAGGCTGAAGCTGAAGTCGAGAACTTGAAGCAAACAACTTCCAAATTAATTGAAGACAACAAAGCTTCTGAACTTCAGTACCAACAGTGTCTGGAGACGATTGCCGATCTAAAGCTCAAACTATTCAATGCCCAGGAAGAAACCCAAAGGCTTAGCCGTGAGATAGAAGACGGCGTTGTGAAGTTAAGAGTTGCTGAAGAAAAATGTGTTGTGTGGGAGAGATCAAATCAGACTCTTCACTCCGAGCTGGACACTCTTTTGGAGAAACTGGGGAACCAAAGTCAGGAACTCACAGAGAAACAGAAAGAGCTGGGAAGATTGTGGACCTGTGTGCAAGAAGAGCGCTTGCGTTTCTTGGAGGCTGAGACCGCTTTTCAAACCTTGCAGCAATTGCATTCGCAGTCTCAAGAAGAGCTAACAGGTTTGGGTTTGGAACTCCAAACTAGGTCCCGGATTTTGAAAGACATGGAAACCCGAAACATTGGTTTACAGGAGGAAGTTCAGAAGGCCAGAGATGAGAACAAGGGACTTAACGAGCTCAATCTGTCTTCAGCTGCATCGATTAAAAGTTTGCAAGAAGAGGTCTCAAGCTTAAGGGAGACAATACAGAAACTCGAAGCTGAAGTTGAACTTAGAGTGGACCAGAGAAATGCTCTGCAGCAAGAAATATATTGTCTTAAAGAGGAGTTAAGCCAGATAGGGAAGAAACATCAGAATATGCTGGAGCAGTTAGGGTTGGTAGGTTTAAAACCAGACTGCTTTGGGTCATCTGTAAAGGGCTTGATGGATGAAAACTCGAAACTCAAAGAACTCAACGAAAGAGAAAGCAACGAAAAAATGGCTCTTCTAGAAAAGTTGGAAATGATGGAAAAGCTTGTTCAGAAAAACTTTTTGCTGGAGAATTCTATAGCAGACTTGAATACCGAGCTGCAAGCAATCAGAGAAAAGCTGCAGATATTGGAAGAAGCTTGTCAATCACTCTCAGAAGAGAAATCAGGTCTTATGGCTGAGAATGACACACTGATGTCTCGGCTACAGACTGCTACAGAGAACAGTGAGAAGCTCTACGAGAAAGGCAAGTTGCTGGAGAATTCTCTTTATGACGCCAATACAGAACTTGAAGATCTGAAGTTAAAACTGAAGACCCTAGAAGATTCATGCCATTTACTCAATAACGACAAGTCCAGTTTGATTTCTGAAAGAGAGAGCTTAATTTCTCAGATGGTTGTAATGAGAAAATCCCTGGAAGATACGGAGAAAGGACAGGCAGAGCTGAAACTGAAAGTCTCGGAATTAGGAAAAGAGAGAGAATCCTCACTTCAGAAAATTGAAGAGCTGGGAATGTCCTTGGTTGCCAAGGATCGGGAGTATGTTAGTTTTGTGCAATTGAGTGAGGCTCGGTTGGGCGACATGGAAACAAAGATCCATCTCCTTCGAGATGAAAATGAATGCAGGGAGAGAGAATATCAAATGGAACTCGACCGGGGTGTTGATGCTCAGATTGAGATTTTTGTTCTGCAGAAGTGCTTGCAAGACATGGTTGAGAAGAACTCATGTCTGATTGTTGAGAAAGAGAACATCAAAGAGGCATCTAAACTGTCAAAGAAGCTAGTCTCTGAACTGGAACAGGAGAATACCGGGAAACAAATGCAGATTGACTCCTTGATTGGCCGGATTAAAATGTTGAGAATGGGGCTTTATCAGGTACTGAAGAGACTTGAAATTACTCCAGATATTGAGTCTGAGGATGGGAATATACAAGACCAAAAAATCGTGCATGGTATACAGAGAAAACTTGATGAAATGCAGAAAATGCTATTAGAGATTCAGAATGAAAACCAACATGCAGCCATTGAGAACTTTGTCCTTGTCGCATTGCTTCAACAACTTAAATTAGAAGCAGTTGGCATAGTGAAGGAGAAGAGTATTCTTGAGGAAGAACTTGAATTTCAGCGTCTGCAGCTCTCATCTTCGCAGGATGAGACGCAGAGACTTGTATGCATCAGCGAAGAGTTGACCTCAAAAGTAAACCAGGGAGTTAACAGAGAGGAAGCCTTGAACATGGAAATAGTGGATTTGCATAGCCAAGTTTCAGCCTTGCGTGATGCATACACTGCTTTGCAGGACGAGAATTATAAGAGTTTGGAAGAGAAAAGATTCTTGACAAAGTCAACTGCGCAGTTGGAGGAGGAGAAATGCAAACTAGAAGAGGATATCGCCTTGCTTCTTTCTGAAAATATTTACCAAAGCAGTCTCATTCGTCTCCTGGAGGATGCCGTCTTGGCAAAACTTACAGAAGCTAAGGAACTAAGTGAGGATCTGGGCAGAATCAATTTTGTTAAGGATAAGCTTGAGGAAAAGGTAAGGGAGATCGGCGTTATGTTAAAAGATGCAGAAACCGATAATTCAGAGCTTAAAGGTTTGCTAGAAAAATCGGAGGGTGAGTTGCTTTCTGTCAAATCAGCCAATGATAAAAAAGAGAAGGAGCTTCTAGAAGCAATGCTTTTGATCTCTGTCATGCAAAACGAAAAGGGGGAACTATCTAAGATGGTGGAGCATTTAGAATGTAAATACAAGGAAACTCAAGCAATACAAGAAGACCAAGAGAAGCAGGTCATGTCACTTCGTGGAGACAACGACGAGCAGATTAAGGAGACCGGACGTGTTAAAGAAGTGAATCTGAAATTGGAAGCCAGATTGCTGAATTTTGGGTAGCAAATTAAAATAAGTTATGAATGGTAAAAGAAATAAAATAAAATACGTTACGGACCTCCTGTGGTAACCGAATCTTCACTCCTTAAAGCTCACGCTTTACTTGAGGAAATAATCCATTAATTTAGTTGCTGGAGTACTCGAGGGGCAGTTTCGTCATTTAACAGCTCTCTCTCTCCCTCTCAAAGACTTCCACCAGAAACCTTGATCAAACGAAACTTCTTAAAGAACGATGTGAGGCTGTATTGTGGGAATCTCAGGCTGAGGCATGGTTTGGAGAAATGCAGATATCTGTTGTGCATGAAGCATTGCTCAAAGGGACAACCCGGGAGCTGGCTGAAGCTTGTGAGAACCTTGCAAGTAAAAGTGCATCGAAAGACATTGAGATTGAACAGTTAAAAGAAAGAGTAATAAGCTTAGAGGATGCAAACAGAGAACAGCAAGGCCATATGGCCAAGTATGCCCAAGCTGCAGTCTTGCTGGATGGATGCATAAAATCTCTTGAGAAGCGTATTGCCACACATCGTGAATCCGAGGATGAACTAATCAAGGTGTTTTATCTTATTCACGTTAATATCTCCTTTATTTCTATCTTTGAAATTGTATATTTAGTCCTTTTTGTCAAGTTTAGTTGGCTTAGTCTTTGGTCTTGGTCTCCATTTGTCGGTCTTAAACCATTGAAAGACAAATTGCTTCAACTCCTTGTATCTGTCTTATCCATATCCTTGCTATGTTGTGATTTTTTTCATCGAGGGTAATTTATAGTTTGTGCCTCTCTTAAGCAGGACGTCGGTTCAGTGGCTGACAAGGATGGCAAAGGTTATCATCCTACAGGAGAAGACGGGTTCTCGGAGTTGCATGATATGCGTTTGAGAATCAAAGCCATCGAGGAGGCGGTGATAGAAAAGGAAAAGGTTGTGATGCTCGAAAACTCAAATGCATATTCAAAGCTGGAGGCCGCGATGAAGCAAATAGAAGAACTAAAATCTGGTTCCCAAAGGAGCAGGAGGAAACAAGAGGGAGAAGGTCGATCACAGAAGCAGATCCATGAAACCTCTCCAGAGGAAAGTGAGGTGATAACGAAAGATATAATGCTTGATCAGGTGTCTGATTGCTCATCTTATGGGATAAGCAGGCGAGGCACTCTCAAGGCCGATGATGAGAAGCTCGAGTTGCGGGAAATAAATGGACATGACAGCAGTTTTGACCTAGAGCTACAAAAGCACGAGAAAGGCAAATCCTTGTCTGTGGAGTCGTTGATCGTGGACAAACTGGAGATCTCCGATAGATTCTCGGATCCAAACCAAGAAGTACACAAGAGGAAAGTTCTAGAAAGACTCGACTCCGATTTACAGAAGCTAGCGAACCTTCAGATCACTGTTCAGGATTTGAGGAGTAAAGTGGATACCGACGACAAGGACAACAACAACAAGGGGAAAGGAGACGAGTACGAAACTATCAAAGGACAACTCGAAGAAGCAGATGAAGCCATAGGGAAACTCTTCAATGTGAACCGAAAGCTGATGACCAAAGTGGAGACAAGATTCCCGCGATCAGAAGGCAACAACAAATCCACTGATCTGGATGAAACAGAGAGTAATAGAACGAGGAGGAGAATATCGGAACAAGCAAGAAGAGGGTCGGAGAAAATCGGGAGGTTGCAACTGGAGATACAGAGAATACGGTTTCTGCTTCTGAAACTCGAAGGGGAGAGAGAAAACAGAGCGAGGTCGAAGGTTTCGGATAGCAAGACGAGGGTTCTGCTAAGAGATTACATCTACGGAGGAATGAGGAAAAAGAAGAAGAGGACTTCATTTTGTGCCTGCCTTCAGCCGCCTCAGTCCCCATGACCATTTTCAACTGTTTCTTGCAATATTTAGTATCTTCTTCATATTTAGTATATGATTGAGAGAGAATAGTATCTGCTTCAGACCTTTTTTTTTTCTGTTGGAAGAGTCTGTATATGTTTGGGTTATTGAGTTCGAAACCGAAACTTAAATGCTTGTCTGAAAATTTGCCCGAAATTACTAGCAATATGTATATCACCAGGAGGAGGTTAACAATTACTGGTTTATGACAAGAAAATTACAATTTGTTGTAGAGATTTTACACGTTATTACACAGATTCTCTTGTCTGCGGACAGCTCTGAAAACGGTGAGCAGAGACATGAAGAGGTTGATGATGTCAAGGTAGAGAGCGACGGAAGCCCAAATGTACTCGTCGTACTGGTAACGGTTGAGCAGGTTGTCGGTGTCGTAGATTATGTATCCGCAGAATATTATGGAGGCCAAGCTTCCGTATATCGTCACTGTTATCCGACCCAATGGGAACAGTAGCTGCAACAAAACCATTTACCCAAAAAAAACGCGATCTATTTCAAGATTCATGTTCTTGAACGGAAAAAAACCAGCAACCATATATATGGTCCATGCCCATATGAATGAACATCTAACTGGACTGCCGTCGACCCCACCATTGAGGAAATGCTTGAACTCCATTGCCATGAACCTTGAAACCACACGTTTGGTCCTCCACGTGCACATGATTCTCACTAGTGGAGACTTCTGGGCCCTAATTCTCCTAAGAAGACCTAGCCCACATTACCTATTGTGCATACGGCTGTCGGGCCCATTGGGCCTTTATTTTTAAATATGCAATTACAGGCCCATAATAACGTTCTCTTTCTCCTAAGAATTATAATTTAGATTTTTCTTTTGCTACACAATTGTTTTTTTTTTTGGTTTGAAACACAATTGTAACTTATATATCCAAAAAGTTTTTTTTTGTTTATTGTATGTATGTACGTACGTATGTATGTATTGGTAAGCATACTTTTGTGGTGTGAGAGGTAGTGGAGAATATTCCAACAAGTTGGTTTTTCTAGAAGACGTTAGAGAGATTCCAAATTAGATTTTTGCCAAACCAAACATGCATGCAAATATAAAAATTGGACACAAACATATCATACAAGTGATTCAATGCAATAAAAATGCCAAAAAGATAACTAATCATGGGTCATAAAAAAAATCAAGAATATATTGTTAACAGTTACTCTAGATGAAACCGCAAATCAGAGCAGTGAGGATAAATTTGGGGAGCAAGATAAATCTGGTTTGGTAATAGACTTAGTACATTCAGCAAAAAAGGGGAAGGGGCAGCTAGTCTACCTAACACAACCCTCGCAAAGCAGAGCAGTGAGGATAAATCTGGGGAGCAAGATAAATCTGGCTTGGTAATAGACTCAGTTCACTCAAAAACGAAGGGGGAGGGGGCAACTAGTCTACCTACAAACCCTCATGATCGAGACTCGAGACAGAATGTGACAACAACCAACCGAAAGGCCAATAAAAGCCAGAAATCTCAGAGCAAAGGTAAACTTGACCAAGGAGAGGTAGAGGTACAGATACAAACTCGTGGCCGAAAGGCCACAAGAGGAAACTAAATCTACCATAAGGATTCCCATGATTTTTGCCTGGAATGTGAGGGGCATAAATGCCCGTAATAAAGGTTTCTTGACCCGCAAATGGATTGCGGAGAATAAACTCTGTATGGGAGCACTACTTGAAACTCACATACATGAGTCAAACTTTCGTCGGATAACTAATGCGATACCTCTAGGTTGGAAGAATTTTTGTTCTTTAAGTGATCGATATGTCAGAGAATCTGGTTAGTATGGGAGGAATCAGTCAAGATGTACTGAACCAAGCTGTAACATGCGAGGTGGTGATCCCGAGCCGAAATCTACAGTTTACGGCAACGTTTGTCTATGGATCTACATCACTAATTGAAAGAAGGCAACTATGGGAAGAGCTGAAATTCATCGGGCAATACGAGCCTACTGTCAACTCACCTTGGGTTGTACTCGGGGATTTGAATCAGTGTCTCAATCCGTATGAACGATCTGATCACGGACAACAACAGAGCCAACAAGCTGGTATGATAGACCTTCATGACTGCATGTTGGCAGCTAGAATTTCCGATATGCCTGGTAGAGGAGCATCCTTCACTTGGTGCAACAACCACTCACAAAATCTGTTATCTGTCAAGTTGGATCGGGCTATGACCAATGGAGCCTGGAAACTCATGTTCCCCAACGCTTATGCATAATTTGCCATTCCTGGACATTCAGATCATACTCCCTGCATTATCCATTTTCCGGATAACCAAACTTAGGTACGACGTCCGTTTAAATTTTTTCAACACTTAACCCTGGTTCCCGAGTTTTTTCAGACAATCTCTAGACATTGGGTAGCCTCAGATATTGATGGGAGACCGCAATACCAGTTATGTCGAGCCATGAAAAAGCTCAAACGTCCACTTAGAAACTTGAACCAAGACAGATTCTCTGACTTATCCAAGAGGGTTATTGAAGCGGAAAAGCTCTTGAAAAGGGTACAACAAGCCTTATTTGAAGCCCCGAGTGTAAATCAGATTGAAGAGGAGAAATTAATACGGCTGGAATGTGACACCCGAATCCCGTTTCCCGTGAACAGGATATGCCACATGGACGAAAACCAATAAAATATAATAAATCCAAAAGTACGGGAAATTAAAAATCATTTTTACATAAAAGTACGCAGCGGAATAGTTAACACAACCTTTAATTGTCACGCGTCCGATCTTAAAATACAACGCAAAGGGAAAGAACATCGTTTTCAAGTTTAACACAAATCAAGTCCGTACGTGATGTTGCCTCCTCTTCAGTCGCTATCCAAATATTACTCGTGCTCCTCGGAATCTGAAAAATTCAACAACGGAGGGCTAAGCAAAAGCTTAGTGAGCAGCTCGGGTTGAGCCCGGAGAGCCCATTCTCATGGAGAACGGTGCCAACTAATCTCTCAATGCAAGAATTCTTTTAATCCATTTACTCCTTTCTCACACATCTTTTTAACATCTTTATCATTATCTCACACATTTTCCCGATACCTGATAGTACTGACTCTAGTCGTCCACCGGCACTATCAGGTACCGTTCCTTTCGGTATCATCTAGTACTGACTCAATTCGTCTACCGGTACTAGACTTTACCCTGCTCCCCTATAATAGTACTGACTCCAAGTCGTCAACCGGTACTATTATAAAGGCGACCACTCAGATCCACCAGTACTGACTCCACGCCGTCAACCGGTACTGGCTTCACTACACATTTCCTGGTATCATCTAGTACTGACTCAATTCGTCTACCGGTACTAGACTTTACCCTGCTCCCCTATAATAGTACTGACTCCACTTCGTCAACCGGTACTATTATAAAGGCGACCACTCAGATCCACCAGTACTGACTCCACGCCGTCAACCGGTACTGGCTTCACTACACATTTCCTTAACGGTACTGACTCCAAGTTCGTCAACTGGTACCGTTACAGAAGTGTCCACCCAATTATACCAGTACTGACTCCACATCGTCAACCGGTACTGGTATTCCATTTCGGTAATAGTACTGACTCCCCGTTCGTCAACCGGTACTATTACCGAAACCACACACCACCCAGCCCCACCCCACCCAGTGCTGACTCCAAATTCGTCAACCGGCACTGGTTCAATATCCACACATCCCCGTACTAGTACTGACTCACGCCGTCAACCGGTACTAAGTACGGGGTTCCTTAGTCATTCAATCACATGCATCCATCCACACAAAATTATTTACCATCTCATTTCCTTATTATTATCACCAGTTTTCCTCTTGGATTAATCCTTGATACCCACAAAGACTTTTGGTTTAAGTATCCTATCTTTTGTTATTCCATGTTATATATAATCATTTAACATACTTGTTTTCTTATTTTTCCATTAAATCACTTTTTAATTCCTTTACCACAACTTAATCCGTGAACCTATATTCGGGGTTGCAGCGATTTTGAGATTTTTCACTGTTCAAAGTGCCTAGACCGTCCGTTCTACGAGGGCAGACCGGACGGTCCGGTTTCATTCGGACCGTCCGTTCTATAAGTCCAGAACGGGCGATCCACTAGGTCAGACCGTCCGTTCCCCCTTATGTTCTAGACCGGACGTTCCGGGTCATGCCGGATCAGGCGTTCCAATTTGCTCATACGTGTTCGTTCTGTCGTGTCCCAGAACGGACGGTCTACGTCCGTAGACCGGACGGTCTGGGACTCAGAACTTCGTCTTCCTCACGAGTTCAGTCCGATTTGTCACCATTTTTGCCTAAATTCTGATCCGATTTAAGATCTAATCGTTACCCACTCAATACTTAACATCCCTAGGTGCTTAACTATTGCAGAATCACTAGTCTACACCATAAATCATGAAAATAGAATCTCTCAAACTCAATCCGAACCACTCACCTCGGATTTCCGTGAGATGCGTTTTTGTCCGAGCTTGTACGAGTTCTACAGATCATCTTCTCCTCCGAAACTTCCTGGGAACCTCCTTGGGGTGTCCCTCTTTGATTTCCCGAGCTCCCTTTGCCTTCGTTCTTCCCCAATCTCTCTCCCTTTCTCTCTTTTTCAGAAATCTGATTTCTCAGTCGAAATGGTTTTCTTCCTCTGATTGGGGCCGATTTATCAGCCCCTTCAGAGACCCAATCGATCAAAACGCGGCCTAGGGATCAGCCTATGTGTGGCACTACACGGGAGTGGCGGCTGGTGGCGCGTGGGGACAGATTGTCGCGCAACAATCGCGGCCAAAAATGGAAGAAAGTCAGCATTTTTCGGCGTTTTGCTCCCAGGACCCTAGACCGTCCGTTCTGATGCTAGTCCGTCCGTTCTGCTTCGTGAACGGGCAGTCCGTCCGTTCCACCTGCTGGACCGTCCGTTCTGCTTCGTGAACGGGCAGTTCGTCCGTTCCACCTTCTAGTCCGTCCGTTCCGCTTTGTGAACGAGCAGTCCGTCCGTTCTACCTTCTGGTTCGTCCGTTCCAGCTCATGGTCCGTCCGTTCTGTACTATTTTTTCGTCTTTTTCTCCGTCTTTCGCTAGACCGGTTGGTCTCCCTCTGGACCGATTGGTCTACGCCCTATTTCCTTTGTTTTTTCGACGTTTCGACGCGTTCGAGTCCCGTTGATCCCTTGGTGCGAATCTTATGCCAATCACCTTATATTCTAGACTTGTCTTACCCTATTTAATTCCCGGAGTTAATTTAAATAAATTATTCGGGAATCGGGGTATTACATGGAATACATGATTCTTGTATCAGCCGAGGACAGACTGTACAGACAAAAATCTGGGATAAGGTGGCTACGCTTAGGGGATAAAAACACAGCTTATTTCCATCACACAGCTTCGGCAAGGGCGGCAAAGAATCACATACATTACTTAGTCGACGATCAAGGTAACCAGTTGGATAAAGTGGAGCATATCAAGAGACATGCAGTAGCCTTTTATTCAGAGCTGCTTGGTCGGCGATGAGAGGTTGAAGCACCAGAACTGGACTTGTTGCGAGACCTAATACCATACAGATGGAGTGGCGGTTCGAATACTCCGATGGATGCCATTCCCTCGGCCGAAGAAATTAAGCAGATCATGTTCTCTTTACCGGACAATAAAGCGCCCGGACCGGATGGATACCCAAAGGAGTTCTATACAACTAGTTGGGAAATTGTGGGGGGAGACGTGATAAAAGCAATTCAGGAATTCTTCCAAACGGGTAAGCTACTTGGGCAAATAAACGCCACTACCATAGTCTTGGTTCCGAAGAAGCCAGAGGCAACAAAGCTCACAGAATTTCGCCCCATAAGCTGTTGTAACACCATTTACAAGGTGATCTCGACCATACTAGCTACTCGACTAAAGGGGATGGTGATGAATGTAATCTCTAAGAACCAAACCGCGTTCTTGAAGGGCATATTGATGATAGAAAATGTATTGTTGGCTTCTGAAATCATCCGGGAATACAATAGGGCTTCTACCAAACGTAGTGCAATGATAAAGATCGACTTACGATCATTAGAGGAGGTCAAACGTACGATGAAAATGTTCTCAAACATGTCGAGGTTACATATCAACCTGGAAAAATCCGAGCTCTTCCTGGCAGGTATGGCAGATAGGGAAAAGCGGACACTTAGTTCGCACATTGGCATTGGACTTGGAAGCTTGCCTGTAAGATATATGGAAGTGCCTCTAAGTCTGGTAAAACTCTCTAAATCAGACTTTTGATACAGAGGATTAAAGACAAACTATTGGGATGGACAAACAAATTTCTATCTCCAGCGGGAAAGATTCAATTGGTGACCTCGGTGATATTTGGCTTGGTAAACTCTTGGGGTATGACTTTTGTGTTGCCTAAATTTGTGATTACAGAAATTGATGGCATGTGTTCTAAGTTCATATGGCAACACACATCAGATAAAGCTCCAAGTCACCGGATTTCTTGGGACAACATTTGCAAACCAAAAAAAGAAGGTGGTTTGGGCGTCCGAAGACTTGAGGATCAGAACTTGGTGTTTAGACTGAAGCTGGTGTGGATATTGCTCTCCAAAGCGGGTTCACTTTGGATGGCTTGGGTTAAGGCGCATGTCTTTAAAGGCGACACATATTGGGAGAGCAAAACGAGGAATAACGCTACATGGAATCTAAGGAAATTGTTGGGGTTGACAGAGCATGCTAGAAAATATGTCAAGGTGACGATTGGAGACGGAAAATCTGCATCTTTTTTGTTCGACCATTGGTTGGAGGTTAGGCCGCTTATTGATTTCGTTGGCATATCGGGACCTCGTCTACTCAGAATCCCCATCGGCGCAAGGGTATCCGATGCAACACGAGACGATCAATGGCATCTACCGGGTGCAAGGAATGATAGGATACAACATATCCAAATCATCCTTTCGACCACTACACCGCCAAGAGAGGAGTTAGGAGCAGACGAATATACATGGAGATACAAGGAGCACGAGTTTCAACCGATGTTCAATGCGAAGCAAACATGGGAGCTTGTGCGACGACCATCCCCGGAGGGTCCTTGGCATCCACTAACATGGTTCAGAAATGCTATTCCGAGGCATTCATTTTTGCTATGGCAGGTACTCCATCGAAGACTACCAACCATGGATCGGATAATGCGTTGGGGTATACAAGGCCCCAATAGGTGCTTTCTATGCTGCAGGAGCTTGGAAGACCACAATCATTTGTTCTTTACTTGTGAATATTCGGCTGCCATATGGTCCTATTACGCAGGAAAACTCGGAGGGAATGACGGACATGCGGTTCAAGATCCGATCAGCTGTTTATCGTGGTTACAAGGGCCGACATGCACGGGTGGAAAATATGGAAAGACAATCAAGTGACACCTCATCCAACTCACTGTCTACGAGCTATGGAAAGAAAGGAATGGAAGGATACATCGACACTCCTTCAATCCCGTTCAGCAAATTGTTGCGAAAATCGACAGCTTATTGCGGAATATTTTGATCTCCTTGCACAATCCGAGAGTCATAGATCACAACGAATATTTACAACTATGTTATCGCATTAAATAACTATTCGAGTTCAGTCTTTACCCGACTATCATGGGATTCCTTGTTTGTTGGTTGGTTTTTGTAATTTTGGTCACTTCATATGTACTTCTTTTGAATTTTTGAAGGAATACAAGCACATTTTATAAAAAAAAAATGATTTTTATTAACTGAAATACGTTTTGCCGATTCTGCGTGATTCTATTGGCTGCATATTATCTATTTTCATATAATATTATATTATTACCTAACAAAAGGAATTTTTTTTTTTTAAAAAGCAAACCAAGTTTGCAAGACGGTTCCAATTTGTAAGTGATTCTGTCTGTTTTGGTAGTCTTTGCCTTAATACTTGCCTTTTTGTTTTTTATTGTGTTTCCACTGCATTCTTGACACATTGATGATCCATCATCTCTACCATATCATATATATAATACCCACTTCTTCTTTTTAACAATTTGATCACTTAATTATCCTTTATTTGTCATTGATGTTAAGTGAAATTAAACATTATATATATATACACACACCTCCGTGTATGAAATCGAAACTTATTTAATAAAAGTTTGATATATTTTCCAAAATTCGCAAACCAATAAAAATGTCAAATCAATTTTACTCCGACTTCATATAAGCCATGGGCTTTAGCTCTTCTCGGCTCAATAAATTGGGCCTCGTTTTAGTATTTTTAATGGGCCTTAACAGGCCCACATGTAATAAAGCGGAAAATCGAGTCAGGACAGTCTTACGCGCGCCCCAGCGCGTGAAGGACACCGCCCAAACAAAGGAAAAAACCAGATTTGTACTTTTGTCGGGGTCTAGACAAAGTATAAATAACCTTCCAAGGCCTGAAGGATCTCACACTGTCTGCTCCTTCTGTACATCCAAGATGGACATCAGACCACTTGCTCAGGCTAAGAGCTTTCCATTCACAGTTCCATCCGCATCTATACGTTCACCAACATCAAAACACTTTCACGTTTCTGCAGTTCTTGGCACAAATCCTTTACACACGAAGATCAAAGAGAGGGTAGTGATTGAACCTGCGAAGAATAACGAAGCTTATGACGATAATGGGTTTGCGAAAATGGCCATCGGTTATCTATCAAAGACTCTCCAGAAAACAGCAGGTTCGTCTCTCCACTGTTCTCGATTGTTCAGCCAAATCCCGAAAACCAGAAAGATGCTTAACGGGCAAGAAAACCGGAACTTTTTTTGCAGGGGTTAGCAGTAGTAGTAGTACAAAGGGTGGTTATGGTAGTTTAGTGGAGGCAGCCGCCATGGTTGCCAGAAACTTTGAGCCGAAGCAACAACATGAACTCATTCTTCGCGCTCTAGAGAGAGCTATCCCGAGAACCATACTCTCCTTGGCAAGTCCTTCACTGCATGTTTGTCTGAATTTTGATATCTGGGATGTATAAATATATAGTGCAGTGAATAGTGTAACATGCTATGGTAAATACAGATACGGATATTGCTACCACAGTCAAAGCTGACAAGGGAAGTGTTTGCAGTGTTCACAACGATATTTTTCGCTTGGCTTGTTGGCCCTTCAGAGGTTAGGAGATGTACAAATAGCATCTTTTTGTTTTCTTCAAATATATCATTTCAGAACAAGTTCTTGCCGTAGTTTACTGGCGTGACGGGATAAAACCCGTTTTCTCGTGAATGTTGTGATGAAAAGGTGAGAGAGACCGAGTTCAACGGAGGAAGAGAAAAGAGAGTTGTGCACATAAGGAAATGCAGGTGAGCGCTTTGTGAGCTTTAAAACTCTTAAGGCATTCGTCCCGCTCGCCAAATTCAGACAAACTCGGGTTTTGAGTTAAGCTGTTCCAATCATCATGAGATCCACACCATTAATGCCAGTTCTTGGGCCGAAACTTACTGCAGGTTTCTTGAGCAGAGTAACTGTGTGGGGATGTGCACTCACCTGTGTAAGATACCATCCCAAACATTCATCAAGAACTCCTTGGGAATGCCTGTCTACATGAACCCCAGTAAGTAAAACATCAATTATTCCCAGAAAGAGGTTTAATGTGTTTAAGGCATGATCCAAAAAGCTGGAAGATTTGGCATAATACAACAGTTGCAGAGAGAGAGAGAGGCTTTACTGATATAAGCAATGTTACTACAAAGAGGAGGAGAAGTAATCATATGGTTAATGGGGTAGTAGTAGAAGCAATTGAATGTGGATTCTATGTTCATAATGTGAAGAAGGGCCCACTGAATCACCACTGAGGGCACAAAACCCTCATGTAGAGTGCAGACCCATCATCGAGTGTTGAAGGCTATGTGAAAGCCACCATGGGTTTTTTTTTTAAAAAAAAAAAAATCATGAATGATGATTGTTGTTGAAAATCCAAAATGATGCTTCTCCAACTACTCCATATGCATACCAAAAACATAAACACAATCATTTCTGACGGAGGGTATCTGTCAAAAAACTATTTTTTCTTCTACGTGTGAATGATGGAATCTGAGTTCACGTACTTGTTCGAGTCGCAGATTTCGATGACATGAGCTGCGAGATGGTGTTTGGACAGGATCCTCCTGAACTTGAGGACGACCCTGCAACGAAACAGCCTTGCTACACATCCTGTAAGAATCTAAAACTCTAAAAGAAATTGTTCCAAAGTCTTCTGAAAGAGAGAACTTGAGAATTTTTGTGAAAGAAAGATCTTCTCTCTTTTTCCTGGCAGGCAAATCGAATCGAAAGTACGGTGTGAAGCACTGAAGGCATTATATATACTTATAAGCTTCGATACATTCAAGAACACATACCAAAAAACAACAACAGCAAGTCTCTGCTTTGTATTTACGTTTGTGGTTGAATGAAAGACACCATAGTTACCGAGACTCTGAACATGCAGCTTCAAGCAACATAAGGGTACAATTTCGGACAAGGAAGATGCAAGAAAGCTTCAGAAAACTAAAACATATTCTATAGAAGGAGAAAGAACAAGACGGCTTTTTTTTTTGGTTTCGATTAAAAATGCAAAACACAAATGTTCTTACCAATTATACAACAATGTTGCCAAGGAATCGTTTGCATGTGACAGAAAACAGAACAACCGGACCTAATAAAATGCTTTTTTCAGACCAAACTATAAAAACATGGGCGAAATGGAAGAATCAATAGCGAGGTGAGTAGGAGAAAGGACTGGGGGAGTAAGGGAAATTAGGGTTAAGGTTCTGTCTGAAACCCAAGTGGCCTTGTTTTCCATCTTTCGAGTATTGCTCCCACATAATCTGCTCTTCCTTTAACAGCCTCTGTTTCTTCTCCATGTCCTGCATCTGCACGTACGGTGGCGGCGCCACTGCCAGCGACGCCGCAAACGGGTCGAGGTTCACCGGACCGCTACCGTTACCGTTACTGTTACCAGTCGGAGGAGGAGCCGGCAATGCCAGCATTGTGGCTGCATCATAAAAGTTTTATTATCAGATGATACATCACAGTGACACAGCGAAAATGTTCATCAACGGACCTGCATTTGAATCGAACTTTCAGAAAAAAAAAGAAGAGAATTTTTAGCACCTAAATTTTCTTTGTTAAAACGAAACCTTTGAGCGTATTTTGTTTCTGCATGGGTTTAGGTTCGTTGGTGTGTGTGTATATATATATGAATACTGATCTTACGTGCAGGTCTGCCAGCGGAGCCAAAGGCGACGCTACTGGCGCTACCGCTGGCTCCGTAGGCAGTCGAGGCATTGACGGCGGCAGTGGTGGCGCCGTGCTGATACATCCCGTCGAGCAACAACATGTCGAAACCTCCTCCGAGTTGTGTCTTCTGTCCCGACAAGTTTGTCTCCGACTGTACCAACGCTGTCTCCCAATCTGCCGCGTCATCCTTGAATGCCTCCCACGGCGGAGCTGTCGCCGTCTCGGACACAGCTCCGTCGAACAACGCCAATGCCAAGCTGTCTCCGCCGCTGGTTTCGCCAGCTGTGTCCGCAAGGTTCAGCAAATCACCCTCTTGTTGTTGTTGTTGTTGTTGATTCTGTTTCTCTATTTCTAGTCCTTCCTCTGTTTCTTGTTCGTTTTCGGGTTCCTGTACTTTCGGTGGGGGTTCGGGCAATGCCTTGATCGAGTTCATGTCTTCTTGTGCTTCGGATTCGTTATCTGCTTTCTCGCTGCCTTCGTCGGCCTCAGATTTGAGAGATTTTGTTTTCTGGGTTTGTACTAATGCAGATTTGTCCCTGATGAACTCATCCATGAGGTCGAGTTTCTTCTGGGTGATCTTCTCCACCTCGGGATATTCAGAAGATCGAGCAATGCCCATGTTCTTGTACCAGGTAAAGCATGAATCAAGCTCATCGAACTGCTTCGAGACGCGGCAAAAGATGTCGTAGACCTTGATTGAATTGGGAATGTCTAGCTCCATGAACCGGTCGATCAAGATTCCCAGAATCTCTGTTATGTCGTAATATATTTGAAAACTCTCCTTCACTATTGGATACAGAGCCACAACCACCACTCTGTTGTTCCTCGCAGATCCTGTTTTCAGACGCCAAGAAGACAAGAGAGTTTACATAATATCGGACTAGAAAAAAAAATCGAAGGAAAAGATCAGAGTTCAGACAAAACCTGTAGGGCGACAAGCCAAGAAACGATCGAGAAGTTGTTGAAGATGATGAACTCTGGTGAAAATCTGCTCTGTTTTCATCTCAGAAATGGGCATTGACCTGACGACGATAGCAGAAGAAAGATCAGATTCTTCCCGATCCCGATCCCGATCATGATCACGGTCCTCTTCTTCTTCGCTCACGCTATAGATTCCCCGCTTTCCATGCCTCCCCTGCATCCGGAAATCAAGCCTTTCATCCAGATACAAAGCATACGTCCTGACAAACGCCGAATAATCCCAAGAATTAGAGCGAGAGGCGTCCCTAAAATCGGACATGTTCAGGAGCCTGGTCCCACGCCTAGTCGCGAAGAAGATCTCCTGCTCGTAGGCTTGATCTCCTTCTCCCAGGAGGCGTTGGATCAGTATCAATGTCTTGAGAGCCACCGTCCAGTTCTTTGTCTTGTTGAGCCTTCGAGAGAGAGTGTTAACGCACGCGCTGATATAGTTGCGTGAATACGAGGTTAGACTCAGTATCTCTCTTATGTATTTCTCCTCCGCTGGGTACTCTTCGTGTCTGGTCGCTTTCACAATGGCCACGTCCAGTTCCGACAACGAAGCGCTTCGTCCTCCGACTTTTGCAAGGCCCACACTCGTCTGGTCCTTGACCGCTCCAATGGCTCTTTTCAATTTACTCGAACCCATTGTTACTACTTAGAATTCAAGAGAAAAAATGTATCAAATGCAAAAAAAAAACCCAACAGATAAGGGAAAAAAAAGGGAAGAAGAAACGACGAATACTGTTTTATTCGTCGTCGTAGACGTTGGTCGTCTCCTTCTCCTCTGTCTTAGTTTTGTCTGTCTTGTTGTTGTTAATGGGCTATCTTTGCCGGTCGCCGAGGTTGTAGGATTATTGGTAGGGGGAAAGA